AAACTATAAAAATAATATTATACATTGAATATATTATTGAATAGAACTTTAAGCTTAATCTGAATATAAAGTTAAAAAATCTGGATTTTAGACAATATAACTGTCTTTTACATTTAAATTTAACAAAATTATAATATATGAAAAAAATAGTACGATAAAAAGAATAAATCTGAAACAGCAAAAAAGATGACAAATATCATACTAGAAAAATACAATAAATGTTCATAAAATATAGAAAAAAAAATGGTTTTGTTCTATACAGGGTGGCGCACCTAATTCACCTCGGTTAATTACATACACAAAAACGGAATATTTTAAAAAAAATTATTTAATTATTTTATGTTTCTACATCTTTCCGTTTTTGTATAATTACCGAGGCGAATGAGGTGCGCCACCCTGTATACTTTATAGATGTATATCCAAAATTTGGCAAGATATCTTTGGTTGACGATTTTTTAATTATTTTACGTAAAAAAATTGTGATTATAAAATACTTCCAATTAAGGTATAAATAATATTCAACAAATCATTCTAATAAATCAGAATTTAATGCATTGAAAACGGCATAGATCATGAAACATACTAAATACTGTATACGTACACAAACCGTTAAACAGTAAATTGATATAATAGAGCCAAGAAGGAAAAATTAATTTTGGAAAAAATTAATATAATTATTTCTGTTCCTTAAAGTGCTTCTAAAATTCGACAAAATATCGTTAGTTAATGTGTTTTTTTAATTTTATTTGAACTTTACAAAATATTTCAGAAAGGTTAATAAATACTTTGACAAAATATTTGTAACAAAAATGCCAGTGGTTCAATTAATAAATAAATACATTTAATAAAGTAACATAATCGTAGAAGAAAAAATGTGGTTTTGCTGTATGCAGTTTTTAGGCGTATTTCCAAAATTTGGCAAGATATCGTTGATTAAAGATTTTTAATACTATTTGACATGCATATGCTAAATACAAAATACATACTTCATTTGGAGTACTAAATAATATTCAACAAATATTTTAATGAATCAAAAATTAATGCCTTGCAAACGTCATAAATCATGAAACACACTACATACTTATACAAAGCGTTAAATGAATAAATATAATAGATAAATTGATATAACAAAGCCAAGAAGGAAAAATTTCTTTTGAAAAAAAATTAATATAATTCTGTTCCAAGTATTTCTAAATGTGGACAAAATATAGTTAGTTGATGTCTTTTTTTAATTATTTGAATATTACGAAATATTTCAGAAAAGTTAATAAATACTTTGAACAAATTATTTGTAAGAAAAATGGCAATGACTCAATTAATAAAGGAATACCGTATATTCCAAAAAACGGCGTCACAATAGCCCTTGATACATTCTCAAAAATTATTGGTATTGGATGTATGTATTTGTATCAGATGTGCTTTACGTCATTTTTTTAATAAATGATAAATAAGGGTTAGCTCAACAAAAATTATCATCTAATATAATTCAGAACGTCACTCTGACGTCATTTTTCGATCGTTTCACATTTTAAATTCATTATTATATATGTGTAGGCTCGGTTTTTCCCGTGGTCGACCTACTAACATTAAAGTATATAAAAAAAAGTTTATCAGTTAATGTCGAAATTTGCATAGTATATACCTAAGTTATATACTAAATATACAGGGTGAGTCTTAAATTTAGGGGTAGTATATTTTGAACCCACAAAACACATACCTGTTGAATTTGCAAGCATTTTTTACAGTACGTCCCTGGATTGTCTTTACAAGAGAAAAGATCTTTGTATTATTGACATTTAGAGAAAAATACAAAGATTAAAATTTTTGCTCGTTCTGGTTAATCTCGTTTGCGCTTTTCCAAATTTCCATTCCGTTTTAGAGAAAATTAAGAAAACATGAAAATATAATTGAATTTTGTCCTGTTGTATCACATTTTCTGATAACTATTATTACCCCATTCCGTAGCAAGTGAACTAAATATATTTTGTTTAACATTTTAAAACAGCAAAAAACATGATGTTAATTAAAATTCTATCAATAACAATATACAGGGCGCACTGTGGTCAATTTTGTCAAATTAGCCGGAAAAAAATATTAGTGAAAATTACTTAACTTTGATTAATAACTATATCCGATTTTATATGTTAGGTATCATAAAATTACATTAATAATATAATTAATAAGAACAGGTCGTTATACAGGGTGTATAATAATTAAAAACTTGGAAAAGTTTCGTTATTTTTTATTTTAAATAGATTTTGGTCGCGATCATTTGCATATGTTAGATATTTAAAAATTATCATATTCTAAGAAGAATAATACTATGGATCTTACAGATTTTGCTAACAATTGCTTTTAAAAAATCAACAACCTCCAAGCGTTTAATCTGGGCAATACATTCTAAAAAATGGCCTGGACTTAACAGACGGACTAGGACGGTAAATTTGTAGGTTTGGTAAAGTTGTCTAATGGTTTAACTATCAACTTAACTTTATTTAAAACTGAAACCTCATAAGACTTATTTCTTCTAGTTCATTAAAAAAATGTATATTCTAATAATTAAAAAAAAAATCTAACCACATCAAAATTATTTACTCATATTTAATACTCAACAGAAGAACATTAATGTCAAAAAACTTACCACCAACAATTGCTCTTTCCATTTTAGATAGTATTAATGACATATAACTTTTTGCACGGAATACCCAAATTAAAAACTTTATTCATGTGCAAATAACAAGATTATTTAGTTTAGTTTGTCAACTATACTGCATTTTCAATCAAAATAACAGTAAATTCGCAACGACCTTTGACATATTTGTTAATGAAATGTTCTTAGCAACTATTTCAAAGCCTACTTATGGAGTTTTTGACGCCGCTTAGCCTCATCAGATTTTTTAATATTTTCCTGTTAATTTTTAAAAATTGACCACAGTGGGGCGGTCCGAACTGTATTCCGGAAACTTCGGCAGTTTATTCTACAGATAAAAATAAAGTAAAAAAGTTTGTATAAATGTATATACTAAAATACTGAGTTTCGGAGATACAGGGTGTAGAAGTTTCAATTTTATTTTGATTTTTTCCAAATAATTTCTGAAGTAACATCAATATTTGGACAAAAATTGGTGGCTGGGAGTTTTTTGACATGAGAAATTTGATTTTGATGTCAATATGACTCCTATTTTTAGAGGGCGCCACTTACATGTGTTTTAACTGTTTTGAAGAGTAATAACTTTTTGTCTGTACCCGTATAAAACAACTGAGTAAAAAAATTCCATTTCCGTGATTTTTTACGTAAAAAATGTCTCAGTAAAAATTCCTACGAGCAACCGTTCTCAAGATATTTAGAATGGAAGTAGTCAATACATGTCAAAATAATTGACCTAAAATAAACATGTTGAGTAGATAGTTATTTGACTGAAATGATTAATTTGGGAACTTTTAATTTTTTTAAATTAATTATAAATTTTTCTTCGAAAAAATGATGAAAAAACAATTTCTGTTGAACTTTTGGCACAAAAAACATTTCAACTATTTAGTCGATATGTTTATGACAATGATGAGAGGTATTGATAATTTCGATTCCAAATATTTCGAGAATCATTACTCGTAGCGATTTTTACCAAGAGATCTTTTTTACGTAAAAAAACGTCGTTAATGAATATTTTTTTAGTCAGTAGTTTTATACAGGTACGGACAAAAAGGTATTACTCTTCAAACCAGTTAAAAATATGTAGATGGCGCCCTCTAGTAGGAGTCATATGGACATCAAAATTAAATTTCTCATGTCAAAAAACTTTCACCAATTTTCATCTAAATATTAAGTTACTTCAGAAATTCTTTAAAAAATCGAAATAAAAAAGAAACTTCTACACCCTGTATCTCCGAAACTAAGCATTTTAGGACATATATTTATACGAACTTTTTTTACTTATTTTTATCTGCAAAATACGCTGCCGAAGTTTCCGGAATACAGTTCGGACCACCCGGTATATATCAAAGAATCAAAACGAAATTATATTACCATAGAAACGCGTTTTGATTTTTACGACTTTCAACTATATTTTCATGTTTTTTTTTAATTTTCTCCAAAAAGGTATGGAATTTTGGAAAACTATAAATGGAATTAACCTATGGAATTAACCATTCTAGAACAAGAAAATTCTTTTTATAAAGAATGTATTTTTCTCAAAATGTCGATAATAAAAAAGTTTCTCCTCTTGTAAAGCCAATCCGAGGACATACTGTATGTTTTACAAATAATCAAAATATCTAGTCAAACGTCTAAATAAGATAATTCTATACCTAAGTAGACATTCTATCGCCATATAAAAAAGGGCAAAATATAAAAATAAAGTCTAATTTGTATAAAGTATATAATCCATAATATATCCTAATTCTATAGATACCTATAGATTCATTTGAAATTCATACATTTTTTCTACAATTTTAGTTAAATAAAATCATGTTTTAGTTTTTAAATGAGACACCTCGTATATATGTGAAGAAATTATATGGACATGATTTATCATGAAATTATATGGATATATATTTTGACAACTCAAAAAAATGACAGTTCCTTTTGTATTAATTTTTACTTCTTAAAATACTTTCAATGCCATGAAAACGAATATGGAAAACAATAAGTAAAACATATCTTAAATTGAAAAATACTATTGCTGAGTAAATACTTTTCTTAAATAAAATTTATTGGTTTATGAAAAAGAAAGATTTTAAAATTTAAAGATTCAATCACTGTTATTATGTGAACATTTCATATTCAGTACAATCTTATAATTAACGTAAGAGTAAAAGCACAGTTTAAAGAATATATATTCTTAAACTGTGGTAAAAGCATATGGAGCATTTCATCTCGTCGAGATGCTCGCCGTTCATGACGATTTGATTGACTTCAATATGTTTTGATGCACAAATTTGAATGGCGAGCATCGTGGCGAGATGAAATGCTCCTCCATTATGATTTTACCCGAATGGTACAAACATAGAGGGGTATCTCGATGCGATGCTCGACGCAAGTAAGTGCGCGTAGAATGCATCGTGGCGAGCATCGCATTGAGATGCCTCACTATGTAGGTGCTTTAAAGTTTTTATGGTTTCAAGCAACCATGCACTAATTTGTGATATCTAATTTTTTGCTTCTTATTTAAGGGACAATGTGATTTTGTATGAGCATGGATTCCTGTTGCTCCGCATATTTCACATTTATGCCTAAAAAAATAAATAGAAGTTTAAACTAAACAGGACGATTAGTGCTGTGTCTCTATGCAACTAATAATAGAAGTTATTACTAAATCTATTCGCATAACATCTTAGCTATTACAATACATTACAAAAACATGAAGAGCATGTGAATGGTCATTACACTGTAAACATAATTTACCAGGCGATGTATACTTATATTTGATACCAATTAAACTTTTAGTTACGTAATCGAGGGCGCGATTTTTAAATTCATTGTTTTCATGCAAATTCATTGCCAACCATGGACATATTCGGTGCCGGTCTGGCTAACTGGAATTTAAATTTCCCTCTGGGGATTCAGGTGGTTATGCTGTAAAACATGTGAAGTTACAACATCTAATTATATATTTATTTCCTGACATTGTCATTCGTTTCAGCACTTTAGTTTTGCATTACGATTTTTTTTATTTATATGAATTGTGTTGTAATACTTTAAGCTTAAAAATCTTTTACTAGCAGACCTTGCAGTCGAACATTGTTCCTTTTAGAACCTCTTTTAGTGCGAAGTCACAAATTACCTATAACAGAGGCGAAAGAAAGCGACTGCATCGGAAACCGTTCGGCAAATCCGACACGCCTATTGAGTGGTGTAAATACACCAGTCGTTTAGTCCGGAAACCCATGTTGTGTCGTCTTCGCTTGCTGGAGTGCCATAGTGCGTGGTTATATGTTTCTTTTTAAAAACGCGTGTAGGATTTTTGTTGAACTTTTGAACTGTTATTTCTAAGTTTTGGTAATTTGTATATCTTATTTAAAATGGGATATAAATGTGTTCATTTATAAGGAAAAAAAAAGATATTTATAGTATAAAAAATTAATTTATTTAACAAAATTTAATTAAAAATGTGACAAAATAGTTACCTTTCTATTGGTTCTATCCGTTCTATCGGACTTTTTTTCGACAATATAAATCTTTATTTGTAAACTTTAATACATCAAATATTTTCCATCTAATAAATCATTTAATGATGTAAATAAGAGGAAATTTCTCACATGGATGGTCAAATTCTATAGTTTTCATTATATCAAACAGCCTCTGAGAAATGTTTTCAACTCAAAATGCCTTTAATTATGTTTGACTACATCATTAAAAAGGGTCTTCAAATACATCAATGTGATATTTGTCTAAAATTTGCAAAAGAATCCGAATCTCTGGATAACTCGAAATTATTTACCCATTTAAAAGCCGTTGATCATGAAAGTGGAAAAATTTGTTCATTTTATTTACAGGCTGGAAAAATTATTTATATTAAATTTTGACGAGTTTCGCACTGAAGAAAACATTCAGAGGCTGTTTGATATAATGAAAACTATAGAATTTTACCACCCATGTGAGAAATTTCCTCTTATTTACATCATTAAATTATTTATTAGATTGAAAATACAGTAAAAACTCGATAATCCGAAGAGCGCTAATTTGGTTTCCTTGCTAGTCCGGATCGGCAGCGCACTTGCATTATGTACCTTGTAATCCGGATTTCGTTTGATTCAGTAATCCGAATATGTGGTTCTAACTTGTTTTAACGCGTTTTCTCGAAGCGGTAATTCATTTATATCGTAATAATTTGACGGCCGGATCAAAATGCGATCAGATTAACAAAGCTAAACTACCGAAAAGGTCTTTTAGCCCATATCCTTTCGCAACTTAAGACGGGAATGATATTGGTAAATGCATTAAGCAAATTAATCTTATGGATGCAGTTTGTTTATTCCATAATTCATGGCAAAAAGTTAGAACGACCTCTTTAGAAAAACTTTTATCAGGAAATTTACCAGATTATGACCCTGATGATCTCATTCCCCTAGCTAGTTGCAAAAGAAATTGCAGCAAGTAAAACATGGCTACCAAGACATTTTAAACATGTTGACGCAAATTGATGGAGAGATTCATACAAATGCTGAAATGAATCAATGGGTTGAAAACTCTGAAAATATTGTAGAGGATGGTGATCTCGAACATGAAGTTATAGACGACGCCGACGAGACCAGCGATGAAGAAATCTATATCCAGTCAAAAAAAAATCAAGCACGTTGATGCAATAAATTTTTTTACACTGGGATTGCAGAGGGCTGAAGAGAATGATCTTAGTATTAACGATATTCTTGTCTTAAAAAATATACAAGAACAAACAAACAAACAAACACAACGCTTTATTGTACAAAAAACCAAAACAGCTTCATCGACAAAGCAAAACAAAAAAGCACAAAAACAAATATACAAATAAACAAATAAAAATGTCATACAATACAAATCAATTCAAAAAAAAATACGTCATAAAATTACAAATAAAACATATATGGACATTGCAGAACACAGGCGTATCTAGAAAATTTTACAAAAGGAAAACTGTAAATGGATAAAATAAAATAAAATAAAATAAAATAAAATAAACGGAGAAGAGGAAGCTATAGTTAAGCATTCTTCAGTTAATGCACTTAAAAAACAAAGTAAAATCTCTGATTATTTTAAATAATGTAGTATGTATTTTATACTTTGGTATCTATAGGATGTATGTTTCTATTCACGAGTTTTGTTATAGAATATACTTATTCTTACTTAAATTATATTTGTTGATGGTTCTACTAATAAAAATGTTTTATTTTATTCGTTTTTTTAAATATATGTCTATAAAAAATGCAAATCGCGATAATCCGGATCTTTTATTAATCCGGATTAAACTGTGCTTTAATTGATCCGGATCATCGATCTTTACTGTATTTTATGCATTCAAGTTTACAAATAAAGATTTATATAGTCAAAAAAGTCCATCTTTTGTCACATCTTTAATTAAATTTTGTTAAAAAAATTAATTTTTTATACTATAAATATCTTTTTTTTTCCTAATTTACGAACTGATATAATATGACGAGCAATCTATTAAATTACTGTGAGATTATATGCCTCGATAACATATTGGTGCAGATTATTTTCACCGAAATAAATAATAACCCAAACTATACATTTATGCGGATTGTCTATGAACTCTTTCTGAAGGTCACAGAAACCTGAACGCGTAATTCGGTGTTCTTTCGCATCTGTTATAGGTAATTTGTGGCGAAGTCTCCAAGGTAGCGTGAGTTGTGCTGATGTAAATAATAACCGTTTATAAATTTATAATTAATTTATATTTGTTTCCTAAAATATTTTGATTAAAAGAAAATATGTAAAAGTGGGCAACGCTGTACCGGTTAAGCTTAATCACGTGTCTAAAAGCTTACTTGGTATCGCTTATACTTTAACATCCCATGATATTTAATAATGAAAATAAATATATGAGAGTCAAATTTCTGCAACTATAGTCTGTCCAACGGGAAGATACCTGACAGTGACAGTAGCGTCTGTCACTTTAATTCACAAACGAGTCGTGTTTTCTGTCATTTTTCGGATGTCGTCTATCGAATCGTCTTCCCTGTATCGTTGGACAGACTATACATACATTCATTGTTTTAAAATACATTACTGACCGCACACTGAGACTCTGGCGGGATACACATTTTGTACTGTCTACACATTACATTACTACAAAAGGGGGTGACAACAAAAATGAATGAAATTTGGGTTCAACATATTGTTCATCAAAACTTAATTCATTTATTATTTGAAAAACTAGGAATTAAGTATGTCCAAGTATGGCGTAGAAGACACCAAAGCGTCGTTGACACGGTCAAAGTGTACTTGGATCAAATACACCTGGACGCTGCATCATCACTCGCGTCTCATCACTTCATCAAAAAATTAATTATGAATTTATTTAGGTGTGTAAAGTGTATCTAATGGGAAGTGGGAGATGTTCTCTGTCAATTTAATTCACAAGTAGGACAGTATACTGTTGTAAAACTAGGTTAACAAGATTGGTAAACTCTGGTAAACTACGGTAAGGATCCTGAACAATATGAGTAAAGTGCGGAACAGTTTGATAAAATAGAAAAAAAGAAAGTGTAGAAATTCCAATATTTTTTTATTATTTTGATTCATCTTTTCAATGATGTTTAATGTTAAAAAACAATTTGTAAATGAACTGTTAAACTCGTCAGACAGCCCAAGTTCAGTAGAGGGAGAAGGGAGAAGAAAGTAAACCCTTAACAAATAATACAAAAAATAGTTTTAAACAAAAAAATACATTAAAAACAGAAAAACAACCCTAAAAAGCAAAAATAGCAATTAAAATAAAATTCATGCAAGCCCTTTTTTCTGTTTTAGCGCTTTTTTCTTGTTTAAACCTGTTTTTTTTTTCTTGTTTATTAGTTTTTATTTCTTTTTTAATGCTTTACGTCATAACCAACACTATAGTGGGTGCAGAAACCCCATTCTCCCTCTATCAAGTTTTTTGCAACAAAAAAAATGAATGACATAATTGACAATCGAACCAGAAAAAAGCCTTTTGCGGTGGTTAAATTGGTGACAATAACGACATACAAGGGGTCACCTTGTATGTCATTATAATTAAGCATTATATATACATTATAATTATTATTAATTAAACTTACGAACAAGCTCTATATTAGGTTTTTAGTTTGTGATTTTTATTTCAATTTTTTCTACGTAATGTGTTTCTTTTACTTTGTTCGATTATGATACAAAATACAGGGTAATCCATTTAAAATAGCGAAGAAAAGTACAACGTTTAGTTTGGTTTGGTTTGGTTGTTGCAAATTTTGGTACACTGAATTTTGAAGAAGACACTGTTATACAGAGAAGACCAGGCTACTAGTAACATAGCGAGTTGCCGGACGAATTTACGTTTACCCGATTTGCGTTCGTACTCGAGGTTCACTGCCGGCTGTCGGCTGGTCAGGCAGTACGTAGTTGCAGTTGTGCTTGGACGGGTCGGTCGTGACAGACTAGGAATACGACGCGAGGAGTGCCGAGTATTTATTATTTTTATTTTAAGTGTTTACCTTCACTTAAGGTAACATTTAAAATAAAAATTCTTAAATATTTATTATGTGTTTACAAGCCAAAACTAAAAATAAATAAATTCTCTAAACCCAAAAAAAACTAAAATATTAGTCTAAATAAAAAAAAGTTATAACAAGTGTTCAAAAAGACCACCTTCTTGTGCTAGACAGAAGCCTAGGCGGTCGTAAAATCCCCGTCTGACATTGGCTAACATATTAGGACTAATAGTTTGGAAAGCTTCTCGTAATTTTACTTGAAGCTCATCCAGATTATTAGCCCTATTATGACAATACACTTTGGATTTTACATAACCCCACAAAAATAAATCATTGGGAGAAAGATCTGGTGAGCTAGCGTGCCACAAAATAGTTCCGTATCCATTAATTAAACGGTTGGGAAAAGCACTGTTCAAATATTCTTGAACAATACGGGCATTGTGGGCAGGGTAACCACCTCAGCAATTTGATTACTAGAAAACGTGGGATTTTGATCCGCGGTAGCACAAATGTTTGTATATCACGATAAGACCTATTTTGGAAATACCATTTTACAATTTGAATTTTCTCACGAACTTCGTAAACATCCATTATTTTACTTAAAAAATAAATTTTACCCGAGAACTGTCGAGAGAATCTATGTATTCGTTTTGGCTATTAAAACACGAATAAATACAAATTCTGAAACATTCTGATCGCATATCTACCTATTTTTATTTTATCGCATTTTTTCGCCTGCTTTTTATCCGGCGGACGGGTATACGCTAATTCGTCCGGTTCTGCCTATGTTACTACTACGGTGGTCCGGTCTGTATAGTATTTTCCTATTAAAAATTTTTAAAATTCTTCTAATTTAGAATTTTGAGAGGGGTTTAAATAAGCAGTAAATTTAGTTTATATAAACCGTTATATTTCAAAAACCACTCGGTATCCTTTCTAACATAACATACCAAACCAAACCAAATCCACTGAACTAAAAAATATATATGTATGTATTCCATTTAAAAATATACAACTTTAGTCTGAAAATATGTTTGAATCACACTGTATGTTGACAAAAATATCAAAATGTGCGTTATCACTGCCCCCACATTACGTAAAAAAATAAAATAAAAATCATACGCCGAAACCCTAACATAGAGCTTTTTGCATGCCGGGGTCACCCTGTATCAGAGCTGCAAGCTCAAATTAAAGTACCGTATGATCGAAAAAAAACGGCGTCCAATTGGCTTGGAAACGAACATCGATGAAATTCCCTATATGATTTTACATATAAAATGACAGCGATCTTCATTTCATAGCCATCGCTGAAGCCGTTTTTCTTTCGATCATACGGTACTACACTGAGAGGAATATATAATTAGAACTCGGGGTAATGTGTTTTATATATTGTGACTTCAGAACTAATAGGACTTAATATAAGTAAATGTTTAATTACTTACTTTCTTAAGATCGGACAAATGGTCTCACCCTGTTTAGATTTTATGACGTGGCTTGAGAATATATCTTTGGCTTCGCCATTCGTAAAACAAAATTTACAGATTTTGCTTTTCCTGTTAGCAAATAAATGCGCGTTTTTCATTAGATTGTGAGCGTTTCGTTTTTGTTTAGGAATCCATTTAACTGGCATAGTTACCTGTAAGAATAAAAAATACCATTCACTCTATTTAGTAGAATGTATTCAGTAACAGAGCATTTCGAAACTAATGATAGTTTTATAGAGTTTTTAGAAAAGTAAACTTTTTCGGTCAAAATAAAACATACGGGATCCTTGAGGTGAGTTTACAGCGATGTCACATTAAAAATTTGAAAAAATCTACAATATCTAGAATAATAAGAATAGTAAAAGTTGAAAAAACGTAAAAAAATTATAGATCTATTCCAAATTTATTTTTCCAAGAATTCCAATTTTCTATTAGGAGTCAGAACCGGGAAATCCCGGTCTCGAAACTACTAAGCATTAGCATTTTTAAGTCAAAATTGTAAGTATATCGCCACTGCACTGCAAGAAAATCTACAAAATAAAATAGTTATTTTTGGTAAACACTTCTGCGTTAAACCCAAACAGACACTACTTGTCAGAAGTTATGTTTACAGTTGTACAAATTTGCCTAACAAAGAAAAAAATGCTTAACGTTTCGGAAAGTTTATCTCTTTCCGTCGTCGGAAGCAAAAAAATACAAAGAATAAAGAGTAAAACTATTTAAAATATATATTTAAATTCAACTATTCGAGAACACTTTTTTAAAACAGTTTCACCAATGTAAAATCTATCGCAACATCTAGACCCTTATGGTGCGTTTAGACTTGAGCACGCACGAGCTGAGCGTGCGCGCACGGCATTCGTTCGCGCTCTCAGCTCCGTTCAAATTAAAAGCTTATTTTTCGACGAATGAAGTGATCCATTTGTGCGCGCACAGCAGAGTTGTGTTGGCGAAAATAATGGACGACCAAGAAATAGTCGAGGCTGAAGTCATTGTGTTATGCACAGCTTAATTATTAAAAAGAAGAAAAATCGAAAACATCGTCGCTGGTGGCAAACCCAAATTTTTAGAAATCGATATAATTTACTGCAACAACTTAGTGTCTGATGAGGGTTATGATCAGTTCAAAAACTTTACAAGAATAACCAGGCCCGACTTTAAATATTTACAAAATTTAATAACACCAAAAATTATGAACAAAATATACAAATTTTAGAATAGCAATTTCATTAATATCGACATATTCAATATTAATTTTATTTACAAGGTTTTGCCATGCGTTATATTTTTTTGATTTTTTAATAATACAAAGAATGTTTAACATCCCATAATATAGGCAAGTTTTCATATTTTTCAATTAATAATAACGAAGATTCATTGATCCACTCCATAATTTTAATAAAGAAAACGAAAAAAAATCACACACGCACGCACGAACGCAGACAAAACAAATTGAGCGTTCGCGCACACATAAAATCCCTTTGAGCACGGACCAAAAACCGACACCAGACGGCTCACGTTCGCGGCTGCTCGCGCAGACAGATTCAGAGTGAGCGTAAGCGCACAGCCGTTTACATTTCATTCGCGGAGGATCAGTGCGTGCGTGCTCAAGTCTAAACGCACCATTAAATGTTAGAAATCAAAGGACATAAAGATTATTTAAGAAAGGGAGATTTTCACAAATCTAAGATTTGTCAGCATTCATGGGACACAGGGCACAGAATAAATTTTAATAACCCCAAACTTATAATGAAAGAAGCGATAGCCTCTTAAAGAAACATAAAAGAGGCTTTTTTAATTCAATCTAATAAAAATAAATGTATTGCTCATGCATCTGTAGATGTTAGTAATGTATGGCAATCGCTTCTTTGATTTTAAAGAACATAACATAAATTTTGGGGCTTTTTAACATAAATCATAACATAAATTTTGGGCAGAACATAACATAAATTTTGGGCAGAAAGTTTGGGGCTTTTTGGTTTTACCTTATTAAGTAATTGTTATCAGGTAGTAATTGTTAATTTTGAAGTTTAACTTGATATAATGTCATTTTAACAGAACGTCGACGGTTTCTTGTAGACGTATCTGTTTTAAAAAAGTAAAGTGTTCTCGAATAGTTGAATTTAAATATTTTAAATAGTTTTTTTCTTTATTCTTTGTATTTTTTTGCTTCCGACGACGGAAAGAGATAAACTTTCCGAAACGTTAAGCATTTTTTTCTTTGTTAGGCAAATTTGTATAACTGTAAACATAACTTACTGACAAGTAGTGTCCATTTGGGCTTAACGCAGAAGTGTTTACAAAAATAACTATTTTATTTTGTAGATTTTCTTGCAGTGCAGTGGCGAAATACCCACATAGGATTTTTTTGGAGAGATGAATCCGCCACATAGGTATAGACATTTTTGTTCAAAAATGTAAGCTTCATTTTTTTAAACGAAACTCAAGAACCTACACTCCATACGTAAGCTGGAATGGGAACCCTCCAACGGTCTAATGCCCACTTGCACCGTTTGTATAAACTTTGTTTAAAGGCTAAACAGTGATTAACTATACATATTTTATTACAGTTAATCACTGTTTAGCCTTTAAACAAAGTTTATACAAACGATGCAAGTGGGCATAAGACACTCGAAGAAATTTCTCAAAACTTACGACCGAGAAAAATCAAAGACTTTCCTTGATTTAAGTAAGAACAATCTACGGATTGTCACGGGGTTTTTAACAGAACACTTTTGTCTCCTCAACAAACACATCAGTAGACTGAAGCTAAGAAACAACAGCCAATGCAGATTCTGTGAGGAAAATGGGGAAACACCAGAACGCTTCATCACTGAGTGCACAGAGACGACAACCATTCGTGCCATAAACTTTGGTACGACTGATATCGGAGATGAAGAACTAGCCTCAGTGAAGCCGACTCAAATACTGGTTTTCAATACTCATTTCAATATACTATACTCAAATACTCATTTCAATATAACTCGTTATAACTCAAAAAGGGGGACACAATAGATCTGTAAAGTCGCGGTGATTATCCCCCCCCCCCTCTCAAACAATTCTCATTCTACAAGCTTCAATTTTAGTTAAGTTGGTTTATGTTGTCTGATGTGAATTTCAAGTTACCGGTTTTTTTTTCACTTGTATTATCAGGACGGATTACTTAATAAATGTGATTTTATTTTCATTAAACAACTCATTTTGTTATCGACTTCGTTTTTGAAAACCTTGCTTTCTGATTGAAGATCTGCACCATTAACCAATAAAAATTATCTAGTACCGAAGTAGCCAGAAAACCGGGAACTCCCGTTCATGGTGACGTGGTATCGATATCCCCGGTTCCGAAAAAAAACTTCGGTTCGGGAAACCCTATTTTCTTTAGATACCTCTACTGCAAACTCAGCTCTGGACACTGTATAACAATGAGCAGCCAGTCTGGACACTGGCTCATTGTTATCAAAAATCAACATTAATCCCAATTGAAGGGTCAGGGAAAAAAAAGCCGGTAGGTAATTTTATTGCCATATTTAAATATTCGATGCATTTGGTTCAGAGTTGGGGGGCTCTATTAGAAGTGGACCGAATAACCCTTACGGTGTAATTGACCTCTAATCCAAGGAGGCAATAAAAAAAGAGGGATAGATCCTCTATTATAGATTCGGAACAACATGTATGATGAATTATAGACTGTACGATGATATACAGAGGGTCCCAGAAATAAGTGCAAGTATTTTAAGCGGTGGTAGATCTCGACAAACAAAACATATTTTCTCTTTATCGTTTTCCAAATAAGTCCAAAACAACGGAATTATTTTACTTTGAAAATTTCCAAAAAAAAAGATTTTTTGCTAAAATTTTGAGAACCATTGGATCTTTTCTGGATTTTCTTTATTGTAAATTTGTATTGTAATTGGTGAAAAATACATTATGCAACAATTATTCCTTATCGGAGTTTGCGGCTGGCATTATTTTTAATTAGACTTTGCAGTTTCCGGTATGACGACTATGATGTCACGCATTTGTTTTTCTAGAAAATTTTAGATCAATTTTTGTGATAAATATTTAAGTAAAAATAAAATAAATCAAACTTGGTCCTAATACGTTGTGTAGCAACTGGCGCTATCAGTTTGCGGTTTTCCGGTCTAGCAATATTCTCAGCAACCAACTCGCAATTCACGTCAGTCTCTACTTACCTCTCGTTGAAAATTATCGATACACTCTGTAAAAAATAAAAAATATTTCTATGCAGCATTTGTGACAAAGTGTTTACCAGGAAAGATAACCTGTCCAGGCATATGAAGAGATGCACTAATGGTGAGTTTTTATTTACTACTAATTTTTCAATATTTTAAATATATTATTTTTTAGTTAATAAAATCCAAGCTGCTATGCCCCAAACCAGCGCGAGCAACAGTGCTGGTCCCAGTAAACGTAAGTAAATATTTTTATTTTATGTTCTGGCTTTAAAAATGCTTTTTTATTTTAGATACATGTGAAAAATGCTCGAAAGTGTTCACTAGAAAATACGATGTAAAACGACATATAAGGATTTGTAATGGTGAGTTTTTATTTATTATTTATTTTTCAAATTTTTTCTAAATATAATTGTTTTTAGTTAAACAAACTGTGGGAAGTGTTGCGCCCCAAACCAACGCGGACTTTGGTGTTGATCCCAGTAAACGTAAGTAAATATTTTTATTTTTATGTTCTGGCTTTAAAAACGCTTTTTTATTTTAGATACGTGTGAAAAATGCTCGAAAGCGTTCAGCAGAAAGGATAATTTAGGCAAGCATATGAAGATTTGTAAAGGAGCCCCTAATGGTTAGTTTTTATTTTATTTTTTATATTGTGTAATATTAAATGGTTTTTTGTATTTTATTTTAGTCAATCAACCTGAAACAAAAAATTTAGAGACGGTATCCCTAAAAAGAACGAGCTCTGTCACTAACAGTAAGTAATTATTTTTTTTCCATTATTTTTAAACTAATTAACTATTTAATTATTTTTAACATATTCAACTATTATTTTTTAACTTTTTTCAATTATTTAAACTAATTAACTATTTAACATATATTTCTATTACTTTTTTAACAGAAAGCATCTATTTTACCGTTAAAGCAAGCAAATTCTTAGAAGAGTGGATAATTACAGTGATGTGCTTGGATGTACCGTTTTGTTTCACTATGGAAGACATTCGATTAATTTTAAATCAAAAGTGTATTGTTAATTATAGGTTAGAGTTACTTGTAAAATTAGGTTTAAGACCTTTTTACGATAATCTTTTACATTATATTAGAGCTTGTAATGGCTCTGAAGAAAATTGTTTAGAAGAAATTAAAAAATATTGTTATTTAAATGTTTGTGAATTATCATATTATATGTTGGAATTTCTAGAAATTAATCCAAATAAACTCGAAAATGATTTTCAACTCATATGTGTATTTACCTCTTGTGAATAAATGTATAAAAATAATAATTTAACTTTTATTCTTTAGTATTATTTAAACACTTGAAGAGTAAATATGTGTAAAAGGAGAAAGATGTCTACCGCAGATATAATTTTTTTACTAGAGAAACATTTGGTTAATTTACAACAATTAAAAGAACTTATAAAATTTTATGAAGAGAAACAGTATATGTTTTCGAAACTTCTAGAATTGAAGATCTCCCATAAACATGCTAAATGATTTGTTTGGATGACTCGCCCTACGATATACGCATAATTTTTTAAATCAAAAGTTTATTGTTAATTATAGGTTAGAGTTACTTGTAAAAATAGTATCTTGTAACTCTTGTGAATAAATGTATAAAAATAATAATTTAGCGTTTTATTCTTTAGTATTATTTAACCACTTGAAAAGTAAACATGTATTTGGATTTGACAAAATATACTACCGAGGAGTTAAAAGCTCTGTCTGTAGAATTTCTAGCAGAACATATTAGCCCCTATACGCTTTTAAATATATGGTCTCGACATCCTATTGAATACAAAAATAATTTCTATTTGCAAACGCAATTGCCATGTTTTATCCACTACAACAGACCTGATCAAGTGACTCATATTGACGGTCCTCCCCCTTTTCAAGCAAGATGTCGAGATTGTTTATATGCTCATCATCATCATAACTAAACAGTCATTCAGTATCCAGACATGGCGACGTTAAGTTCAGCTTTTATTATATTTGCCGTTATAGTGCAAAACACATTCTATATAAATAAACCGAAAGATGTTATTGAAGCTTTCGTATGTTTAAAAAACAATGATACTACTACAACGGAGTGTAAATGGCCAGAAGCTTGGCAGAGATTGGAATATAGCAATAACGGATCGGTGGAAGTTTTCAAACGTCCATTATCGGAAGAAGAGACTAGGAATAAGACGAATATAAAATATAAAATAAGGGTAATCTTTTCAAATAGAAGTGTTGGAAATCAATCCGATTGGCAGGTGCTACCCATCAATTTTAACGATAGTTCAACTATGAAAAATCAGACGTGTAAGGAAAAAGAAGAACCTACAGTGATTTCATATATAGTCCTATTTTTGTATATAATTATGACGTTTGTATCATCTACGATAATAGTATTTAGTACCTGCGCCAAAATGTCAAAAAGTAAATGTATTGCATACTTTAAATAAATATTAAAAATTTGTATTTGTTTTTCATTAACACCCTGTATATAATAGACATGACGTAAGACGGATTGACGTTTGACGTTTGACAAATGATAGGTTTGACGTTTGACAGATGACGTTCTTGACGTTTGACAAATGATAGGCTTAACGTTTGACATTTGACAGATGATAGGTTTGGCGTTTGACAGGTGACAGGTGATAGCCCCTCCTCCTCGCGCCTGCGCTGTACCCCTCCTCCTCGCGCTTGCGCCGTGCGCTCCCTCCGCCTTCCTCCTCCGCCTGCGCCTCCCTCCGCCGCCTGCGCCTGATGCAGAAACCCCCTTCTCCCTCTATCCTCCTCCGCCTGCGCCTCCCTCCGCCTTCCTCCTCCGCCTGCGCCTGATGCAGAAACCCCCTTCTCCCTCTACTATCTAGGAATTATCGGACAGGCTGACGGTAACGCCAGCTACATCTCAGATAGCCACGAAATCGCCTATAAGGTTGCGCACTCGAAGGAAAGAAGTGGATTGGGCGCAAGGGGCTTTCGTGGTTGAGGAACTTGCGGCAATGGACAGGCTTGAGCGCGGATGAATTACTCCGTGTAGCACAAGATTGAGATCGATACAAAGATATTGTTAACATGGCAGTCGTCAACGTTCACTAGGAATATGACACTTGAAGAAGAAGAATTGTTCTAATTCTAAAATTTGTATCTATATGAACAAAATATCTAAATATGTATGAAATAAACACCAAATCGTTAGGAACATCCATAGAAGTTTTTAGTTTAGTTTTTTTTCTTTTGCAAATTGTGGGCGCATTATAAATGATATTTCTCTTCACTATTTACACCATATTTACCTGGCACAAATTATCCTCAATATCTAAAAGAGAGAAAAACCAATGTGTGTCCCTTACTTCTGGAGTTAACCTATTTAAAACGCGTTGGAGACTATCATTTGTTGAAACTTGTGTAGAGATCACTGGTCTGGACGGGTCCTGTGAATACAAGAATACTATAAGCACTGCAAAAACCTTAAATTATTTACAGGATAACATACAGGAGGTCCTTCAGTGAACTAGCATTAGAAAAGTTTTAATGGACTACAATATCTACAGTATGTCCCCGGATTGTCCTCCGGAAAAGAAAAACTTTCTTATTATTGACGTTTTGAGAAAAATGCATTCTTCATAAAAATTTTGCTTGTTCTAAAATGGTTATTCCTGTGTATACTTTTCCAAATTTCCATACTTTTTTAAAGAAAATTAAAAAAAAACATGAAAATATTCCGACGACGCGACGGGAAGAGATATACTTCCCAAACGTTAAGCATTTTTTGTCCGTTAGGCAAATTTATTATTTATTTTGTTATTTGTTAGTAAATCACAGTGGACTCGTTAGAGATTATTAGATTTCCGATAATTTATTTCTCTACGCAGCGGTATTTCACAAAAAATAACTATTTTATTTTGTAGATTTTCTTACAGTGCAAGTTGCAAAATACCTATAGAAGTTTTTTAAGAAATGGTTTGGGGGGCCAGGGGTGGCTTAGCACCCCCAGATAACCCGTGCGTGTCTTATAAAATTGGTCTTAACCTCACATCAATATTATCTTATAGTGACCTAAGTCCCCCCCAAAAGAGTTAAGCCCCCCTAAAAGTATATGTCTAGTTGCGCCCCTGGGTAAAATAATTTTGATTTCATTCTTTGATAGGTAGATGGTTATTAACAATTTTGATTAACATCATATTCTTTGCTGTTGTTAAAGTTATCACATTTTCCGTAGCATTGAACCAAATAAATTTTGTGCTTCTTAACATTTTAAAACAGCAAAAAATATGACGTTAATTAAAATTCTGTCAATAACACTATATCAAACAATGAAACATATGAATGGAAACGAAATTATATTACCATAGAAACTCGGTTTGATTTTTAGAATTTCAACTATATTTTCATAGTTTTTAATTATTCTTCTCTAAAACGGTATGGAAATTTGAAAAAGTATAAAGAGGATTGACCATTTTAGAACAGAGTTTTTTTTATAAAGAATGCATTTTTTTCAAAATGTCAATAATAAAAAAGTTCACAGGATCACACTTTATATCTATAAGAATATTTAAAAGATTGGCGCTACTATAATGTCCGCATATTTTATAAGAAAGATAGGACTGAAAATAGCAAATAGGAACCCTAATATAGAGCATCTTTGGAGCACTGGTCCACCCTGTATACAGGGTGGTCCGAACTGTATTCCGGAAACTTCGGCAGCATATTCTGCAGATAAAAATATGTAAAAAAAGTCCGTATAAATGTATGTCCAAAAATGCTTAGTTTCAAAGATACAGAGTGTAGAAGTTTCATTTTTATTTCGATTTTTTCCAAATAATTTCTGAAGTAACATCAATAATTGGATCAAAATTGGTGTCAGGGAGTTTTTTGATATGAGAAATTTGATTTTGATATCAATATGACTCCTACTTGTAGAGGGCGCCACCTACATATTTTTTTAACTGTTTTGAAGAGTAATAATTTTTTGTCCGTACCTGTATATAACTACTGAGTAAAAAAATATACATTTATGGAGTCTTTTACGTAAAAAAGGTCTCTTGGTAAAAATCACTACGAGTAATGGTTCTCGAGATATTTGAAATCGAAATTATCAATACCTGTCATCATTGACATAAATCAAACATATTGACTAAATAGTTATTAGACTGAGATCATAAATTTGAAATGTTTTTGTGCCAAAAGTTCAACAGAAACTGTTTTATCGTCATTTTTTCGCAGAAAAATTTATGATTAGTTTAAGAAAATAAAAATTTCTTAAATTTATTATTTCAGTCAAATAACTATCTACTCAAAGTGTTTATTTTGTGTCAATTATGACATGCATTGACTATTTCCAGTCTAAATATTTCGAGAACGGTTGCTCGTAGCGATTTTTACTAAGAGACATTTTTTACGTAAAAAGTCATGGAGATGTATATTTTTTATATATAGTTTTATACAGGTATGGACGAAAAGTTATTACTCTTCAAAACAGTTAAAACACATGTAGGTGGTGCCCCCTACAAATAGGAGTCATATTGACATCAAAATCAAAATTCTCATGTCAAAAAACTCCCAGACACAAATTTTCGTCCAAATATTGACGTTACTTCAGAAATTATTTGGAAAAAATCGAAATAAAAATGAAACTTATACACCCTGTATCTTCAAAACTAAGCATTTTAAGACATACATTTATACAAACTTTTTCGCTTATTTTTATCTGCAGAATATCCTGCCGAAGTTTCCGGAATACAGTTCAGACCACCCTGTATATTCCTTACCCATATATAAATCTTACCAAACAATTTGCACTGTTTGAAGGCTGACGGGGTGGTTCGGTAAACTGGAAAAAGTGTTTCCTAAAATCCATCGGTGGATTAACTTCCCCTTCTACAGCAATTGTATAAAAATGATTATTATCGACATTTGGGCGAATTAGACTTCCAATCTGATATTTTTCGGAATGTAGGCTTAAATTATTCGCCAACAGGGACAAAGTGTTGGCAGGGGCTGTGTTAGAGAACGTAGAGGTACAAACTAAAAAAACAACATACATGCACTTTGATTTAGGACATTTACTCTTTTGTTGTTATTACAGTAATATTTTTTGCAATTTTTCTATAATACAACAAAACACCTTTTAAGAATCCGAATCAGTACTGCCTCGCCAGAGATGCCTAGGTTCCAATTATTTTGGTCAAAATTTTAATATTTACTAATAGGCTGCTTCACATGGAGCGCGCGGAGGACCATCGTGTGTATTTTTAAGGTTGTCGCCCACTTGACGGCGGCGCGGCGTGGCGCGGCGCCACGTTGCAATTTCTTTTTTTTTCAAACGTCACAAAAGTATTAGTTTTTGCGGCGTGATTGACAATATAAAAAAAATCATTTTAACGACTAGGTATAAAAGTAAAGTGGTGCCCGGTGGCGTAGAGGTACAGGCTCTCGTCTACCAATCTCAAGGTAGTGGCACAAATTAACAACAGATGCGAAAGAACACCGAATTACGCATTCAGGTTTCTGTGACCTTCAGAAAGAGTTCATAGACAATCCGCATCAATGTATAGTTTGGGTGAAAATAATCTGCACCAATATGTTATCGAGGCATACAAAAAGGTCCACAGACTTCGAGAGATACGAAAAATCAAGTCCATTTAGCGTGTGTCGCAATTTTCACACCTTAAAAAATTAGTTTTTTATAGCTATAGCAACTGCAGCGACTATGAAAAAAGCTGTGTGATTTTCATAGAAAATAAGGGCACCTGTAATTCATTTGAGAATGTTATAAATCGCTAAAAGAGGTTTGGTTTGGTTTGGTTTGGTTGTGAATCAAATGTTTCAAATCTCTTGGATTTCTATTAATATTAATAAATTTTATTAAAAATTGAACTAAAATTGTTAGTATCATTAAAAACAATTCAAATTCAAAAATTGTATCAGTCAAATTCCCTCATTTAAGGTGAATATTAAAGTAAATATAAATACAGCTCATTCTAAGCTCTACTTATCTTTAAGAAAAATTTAAATCATTGTTGCAATTGGGCCTTAATGCCATTTCGAATGAACAATAGTATTAATAATGTACATTATAATAATAATAAATTTTATATCATAGTGTGTATTAAAACTACTAAAACACTTTTAAATTGGTATTATATTAACAACTTTTGTTTTTTAATCCAAAAAAAAGTTACCAATTTTCTCAATCAAAATATTTGTGGTCCTGAAAAGGACCTTCGTTTTCCCATGTTCGTCAAGGTAGGTAATGGGTAAACGGTAAAAAAACAGGATAATGAAATTTAAAAAATTACAAAAATTGTTCAAAAGTGCCTCCCTCTTGCATTAAACAATAACCCAAACGATCATAAAATCCCCTCCTCACATTGGATAACATATCAGGGGTGACAGTGTCAAAGGCATTAAATATTTTCTGCCTTAACTGCTCCAAGTTTTGAATTTCTTCATGGCCGTAAATTTTAGATTTTATGTACCCCCATAAAAAGAAATCATTCACCGAGAAGTCAGGTGAAATTAAACGTCAGTCTAAACAAAACTGTCATTTTTGAAAACTTGTCAAAATTTGGACACACGCTAAATGGACTTGATTTTCCTATGTCTCGAAGTCTGTGGACTTTTCTGTATAATCTCACAGTAATTTAATAGATTGCTCGTCATATTATATCAGCTCGTAGGAGATTAGGAAAAAAAAAGATATTTATAGTATAAAAAATTAATTTATTTAACAAAATTTAATTAAAGATGTGACAAAATAGTTACATTTCTATTGGTTCTATCGGACTTTTTTCGACTATATAAATCTTTATTTTTTGTAAACTTTAATGCATAAAATATTTTCAATCTAATAAATAATTTAATGATGTAAATAAGAGGAAATTTCTCACATGGGTGGTCAAATTCTATAGTTTTCATTATATCAAACAGCCTCTGAATGTTTTCTTCAGTGCAAAACTCATCAAAATTTAATATAAATAATTTTTCCAGCCTGTAAATAAAATGAACAACTTTTTCCACTTTCATAATCAAAGGCTTTTAAATGGGTAAATAATTTCGAGTTATCCAGAGATTAGGATTCTTTTGCAAATTTTAGACAAATATCACATTGATGTATTTGAAGACCCTTTTTAATGATGTAGTCAAACATAATTAAAGGCATTTTGAGTTGAAAACATTTCTCAGAGGCTGTTTGATATAATGAAAACTATAAAATTTGACCACCCATACGAGAAATTTCCTCTTATTTACATCATTAAATAGAGATGAGCAAAACTGCGATTTTCCAATCGCAGTTGAAACTGCGATTGTGATTTGTAAATCGCTGCGACTGTAACCTGCGATTGCGATTTTGATATTTTTAAATTGGTACGCTGTAAACTGGGAAGCTCAATCCCAAAATTTTTGAGAAAAAAACAGAATAAATAGGGGAATAATTTTTTTTTAATAAAATCTTACAAAGAAACTGTTGGGTGTTTCGATGCCATATGCCTTTTAAAGTGTTTTTTATTATATTTTTGCTCTGCACACATATTGCAATTTTGCAAAATTTTCATCAATTACCAAAAAAAAATCAAACCAAACCAAACCACAAATAACTTTGTTTCCTTTTTTAAACTTTTTTGATAAGAATAGACCGAATAAATTTAACAGGGAAAAAAATACATAAAATGTTCAAAATATTCGAATGTGCTTTTAGACAGTCTGTAGGTATACTAACGAAAAATTTATTATAAAAAAGGTTGCCGCCAACCTTAATTCAGATAACGAGAAAAAAACTGTTTATTTTATCTTTTTTTTTCTTTTAAAAACATTTTCTTTATATGTAACTCAAAAGAAGCCGACGCCGACGGCTTTGATACGGCCCGTCCAGTGCAAGTGCAAACTTTCGAACTTTTAGATAAATAAAAGGACAATATCACATTTTATTATATTTGAAATTTCTCTAAAATGAAAAAACTGATTGTAAAGGATGTATTTAAATTAACATAGCAGCCGATCCACAATTGTTCAGAAAATTATATTATATTATGGATTGTTATAAAAATGTTTATAATAATATAATATACATATAACAAAATATAATAAAGAGAAAGGGCTGTTTCTTTTTCGTGCTTTATATCTTCTAGTAAATAAAGGATAAAAATAGATATTTTTTTATAATTTGAATCCAAAACTGTCCTTGAATGAATTATTTTACCTGAATCATTACCTGGGAGCAACTGTAACTATAATTAGTCATAACCGAAAACAAGAATTTTTTAACCTTCAAACATAATTATATTATAAATCTAAAACTATTATCAAAATTTAAAACTAAAAAATTATACATATATATTATGCGGTATATAAACATATATAAGCCTATTTTCCAACGCTTCATCAAAATTGCGGGGCCATGATTGCGAATGTGATTTTGCGATCTAGTCTAGGCCGATGTGTTGAGAGCTGCGAACGAAAATCACAATCGCAGCTCTTCGTTGGCGTGCCCACTCCCAATGCCGCGCCGCCGGTGCCAACGAAAATCGCAATCGCAATGTTGGGATGAGCTGCGATTTTCGTTCAGCTCCTCGTTCGCCTGCCCACTGCCGTGTTGATGACGCGCCGCCGCCAGCCGGTGCGTACGAGAATCGCAATATTGCGATTTTCGTTCCCAGCTCATCGTTCGGCTTCTCAGTGCCGTGTCGATGCACCGCGTGCAAACGAAAATCGCAATGCTGTGATTTTCGTTCGCGTGCCCACTGCGATTGCAAATCGCAACTGGTGTAATATTGGTTGCCTAAAAATCCAAAATCGGCAGATATATGTTTCAATCGCAAGTCGCAGTTTGTTATGGAAAGGAATCACAGGTTGCGATTGCGAATTTACAATCGCTGCGATTAAATCGCAGTTTGCGATTTTCTGCTCATCTCTATCATTAAATGATTTATTAGATTGAAAATATTTGATGCATTAAAGTTTACAAATAAAGATTTATATAGTCGAAAAAAGTCCGATAGAACCAATAGAAAGGTAAGTATTTTGTCACATTTTTAATTAAATTTTGTTAAATAAAAAAATTTTTTATACTATAAATATCTTTTTTTTTCCTTATAAATAAACACATTTGCATCCCATTTTAAATAAGATATACAAATTACCAAAACTTAGAAATAACAGTTCAAAAGTTCAACAAAAATCCTTCACGCGTTTTCAAAAAGAAACATATAACCACGCACTATGTCATTCCAGCAAGCGAATACGACACAGCATAGGTTTCCGGACTAAACGACTGGTGTATTTACACCACTCAATAGGCGTGACGGGTTTGCCGAGCGGTTTCCTATGTAGTCGCTTTCTCTCGCATCTGTTATAGGTAATTTGTGGTAGTGGGTTCGAATCCCACACCCGGCATTTCATCAGCCGACTATTTTTATTAAAATAAAAATAGTTTGGGTAGGTTTGGGTACCTAGGTCGACTCAGCCTTAAATGAGTACTTGGGATTCACAATCCTGAGGTAATAATAGGCGGTTGAAGCGTAGTGCTAGCCACATTATCTTCCTTGTATACCGAACGGCTAGTATGGTAAGCTATATATACGGGAGCTATTATTATTATTATAAAAGTAAAGTACTTTTACCCCAGCATAGAAGTACGAAAACAAATACGAAAATATGTTATTAAAATGACATAAAGTGTCAAATTCAACGAGCATAACCACGGTTTCTCGATACAGTATAATTACATACAAGGTATGACTTTTAAATCTTTTTGTATTAAGTATCTGGAACGTTTGAAATTGTTTAAAATAGTATATTGTTTTATTAGGAGTGAAAGTTACACTTTTGTGGTGAGGCTGTACGTTTAACATACAGTCGAGGCATAAAAAGTAATTTATCAAAATCGCGAATAGAACATGCTATCACCGAATAGAACATGCTATTTTTTTCACGCCACAAAGTTCTTAAACAATTTCAAACGTTCCAAATATAAAAAGATTTAAAAGTTATACATTGTATGTAATACATAGATAAATGAAATAAGTTTAAATTGGAAAGTGCCCAAAAGGACAATGTAAACACTATTTGGCGCTATTCTTGCAACGGTCCAAAGCTTTTGAAAATTTGGAGGCGGTTCGGCTTTTTTCCGGAATTATATCGCCAAATATTGTTTATTCATATTTATTATTATTTTCTTTTAATTTTATGAATAAAATACAGTGTGTTGCATACAAGAAACTTTATTTTATATAAGGCCATGTATGAAACATTGGAAACCGACGTTATGCCTGTGGTTATACCACGATCCACGATGTTTTTTGCAGTTCACAGCCCAGTTTTTTAAGTTTTTAATGCCACTTTTTCACAATTATCACGGGTTTGAGTAAATAAAATTTAAATTAAACTCACACAGGTTTCCCGGACGCTTTTCCAAATAGGGGCCGTACCGGCCCAGACACTTTAAAAATCCAGCCATGTCCGGGTAAATCAGGACGTATAGAAACCCTAAGCCAAGCGCCATTCTTAGTATACATTAAAAACTTACCTAGATTATTGTCATCTGGACAGCTGGGTGTCATACTGCCTTTACAAAATCCAACAGATGATTCAGATGACACGTCAGATTCATAAGACCGAGTAGATGTTTTGCGTTTCAAAATTCTAGAATTATGTGAAGGTCCTTTTTTGTAATTCCCCTTAGGATTATTATCAGCGAGTAATCGTCTCTTAGGTCCTGGGAAAAAATATTATTATACAGTTTGAAATTCTACTATAAAATTAAAATATTATTTTACTTTCGATATTATATTCTACAATTAACAAAAATCAGTTTGAAAAACTGTGATTAACAGTTCTGTGATAACTAACTTCTAATTTTCACAATGTAACGATGCAGTCAAAACTTACCTAGATTATTATCATCTGAACAGCTCGGTGTCTTACTACCTTTAAACAATCCAACAGATGATTTAGATGACACGTTAGATTCATAAGATCGGGGAGATGGGTTTTTCAAAATCCTATAATTCTGTAAAGGTGTTTTTTTGTAATTCTCCTTAGGATTATTATCATTGAACATTTGCCTTCTAGGTCCTAAGAAAGAATATTATTCTATAATTAATAAAAATCCGTTTAAAAAAACTTTTATTAATAGTTCTGTGATAAGTCATAAATAACTTCCGATTTTCAAGATGTTAATACGTATATCATTTTTACAAAGTGTATATTGAAACAAAGTGGTAGCTACTCTTAATGACAGATCTATAAAAGTTATGGAACTACTTTATTTGATTGAAAATGACACTGAATAAAATGACATATTATCTGTCAGCTTTTGACATGACTCGCTTAAAAAAATTGTATTTTAAATTTCAATCTAGAGTGCCATGGCTGTATTAAAAACACTAATTTTTCATCAAGGAGTCTTGGAAAAATAGATTTGACCGTCTAATGTTTTTATTGTCTTGTCCTGGCCGGTTAAAAAATGCACAAATCGTATTTTTAATCATATCTCAATTCTTTCAAATGGAACGAGGGCTCATTAGCACATTTGGAAAAAGCATTTTTATACAAATAATTTGGTATCACACACTTGGTATTTCAAGTCAAATTGTCGTTATGAACCGCATGTTACAATTTCAAAGTTGTGTCAAAAGTTGACATATGATAAGTCATTCTATTGAGTGTCATTTTCTATCGAATAAAGTAAAAAAAAAAAATACCGGGGGTGCCATATAAAAATTAAAAGTTGTAGTAATTTCCGGTGAAATAGGAAGTCCCGAAAACAATAATTGAATACGTCAATCAATCCTAATTTATGTCATATACAGGTTGTTAATTTGTTTATTACTCGCGGCAAGAGCTTTACGGTTGAAATATAGCAACCTCGGTCCGCCCGTCGATAGACGCCGCAACGCTTGTCGGCAGAAAACCCAAAGTGCATGCGTTCTCTATAGGCAGTGTTGCCATTCTGTTCCCCTATAAGTAACTGTCCAGTTAACAACCTGTATACTAACTTACCAAATATCGTTTTTTTTATCTGAAAAAATAAAAAAGTTATAGGGGTGAGCCACACTTTATTTGAGACTCACCCGGTATAATACAGAGTGAGTCTTAAATAAGTGTAAATATTTTAGGGGGCCACAATGATTATTTCGACGCTACAAACACGACTATAAGGTTTTTAGCAAAAAAAAAATTGAAAAATTTACAATAGTATTTTGAAAAAAATTTCGGAATTTTTTTTAGTTAAAAAATATAATTTCTTGATAATATGACAACATAGGTAGTAGATAAAAATTAACAACAAAGAAAACCCAGAAAAGATAGTTCTCAAAATTTAAGCAAAAAATATTTTTTTGGAAATTTTCAAAGTAAAATAATTCCATTATTTTGGACTTATTTGAGAAACGGTAAAGAGATACCTAATATGTAATTTATTTTATCGAGATCTATCAGCCCTGAAAATATTTGCACTTATTTAAGACTCACCCTGTATAAATAGAACTAACAAAATAACATAACTGAAGGTAAATAATTTGACATAAACGCATAGTGTCTATTCTTTTACTTTGTGAACTTAACATTTTAAACATTTGACGCTCTCCGGGATATAAAGCATTTTCAGGATCAGGGGCAACTTACCTAAATCCGGGATTTTCCCGGAAATCCCGGACGCCTGGCAACCCTAGTCTTCAACCAAAATTTAAGATTTTATTTTTTATAAGACTACCTATAATTTTTTGTTGGAGAGACGATACCTACCTCATCTTGACAAAATTTTCTGAACTGTATAAATTTAATATATTTTTATTCCTTTCAGAAAGTAGTGTGAAAAATAAACTGAATTTTATTCAAAACTAAACTATAATAGGTATAAAACTTACCTGATCCTAATCGATTCATATTTCTAGAATTAGAATTGTAACCCACATCGCAGAAATCACAATACAATGGCATTTCGGACAAATCCAGAAAAGAGAGCATATTACATAAAAACTCGTCATTTTTCAAAAAAGAATCTTCCGATTCTAAGAACGTATCTTCGGCAGTTAGCGGCATTTCAACACTATTTTATGACTTTTAGCAACTTGGATTATTAATTTAAATAAATAATTCTAAACTACACAAATCACCAACTTGACAAAAGAAACTCTGATCTTCAAATGAATTATTTTTCGAAAAAAATCGTTAAAAAGTAGGGATGAAATATAATCAAAAAGAGACACCGCAAAGTCGGCAGGTATTTCAAAGGAGTAAAAGGATGCCGCCAGACAGGCCCGTATTTAGTATTTTAGATGACGAAGGAAAATAATAATGAAGATAATTTTTATTTTTCTGGCTTTGTTTTTTTCATTATTGGGATGAACTAATCTTATTATAATTTTCTATTTCTTATTTATATGTATACATATACAGGGTGAGTCAACGATAGAGTAATGTCTATTATCATTATCTCATTTGTTTCGAGGTTTACAAGAAAATGTTAAATAGAAAAGTTATAAAAATTATCATAAAGTATACAGGGTGCTTCAAAAAAGTGTGGCGGGTATAAAATACATGTTTTTTTTAAATGCAATACCCTACTTTTTATTTTATTTTTAGGGTCAGCGTAAAATTTTATAATTTTTATATATAATATTATATACCTAAAATTAATAGTTTTTGCAATATTTGCATTTATTTAAACAAATGTTAGATTTCAGAGTGGTAAAAAATTGTCAGTGATCAGTGATGCCATTGTTTGTCATGTTGGACTACTAAAATTTGGTACGAGAGTTTTACAGAGGCAACGATAGAGGTGAAGAAAAAGATATATGTAAAGATATTTTAGTTAGATGCTAGAGGGTGTTCAAAATATATTTATGAATTTCGACTACTTAAAATTAAAAAATTTCATTTTTTTAATTTTTTAAATGGCACACCCTATATGTTATCATTTTTTCTGGTAGATTTTATAAAATTCATGAACTTTTATTAAGTATGTTATACCGGGTGCGTCTTAAAAAGTGTAAACCCCTATAACTTTTTTATTTTTTCAGATAAATAAACGAGATTTGGTATGTTAGGATATGACATAAATTAGGATTGATTGACGTATTTAATTGTTTTCGGTCACTTCATCCTGTTTCACCGGAAATGACTACAACTTTTGATTTTTAAATAGCACTCTCGGTATTTTTTTACTTTATTTGATAGAAAATGACACTCTGACACTCTGAATCGAATGACATATCATATGTCAACTTTTGACATATCCGTTCAAAAACAAATTGTATTTTAAATTTCAATCTAGAGTGCCATGGTTGTGTTAAAAACACTAATATTTAATCAAGGAACCTTGGAAAAATAGATTTGATCGTCTAATGTTTTTAGTGTCTTGTCCTGGCCGGTTAAAAGATGCCCAAATCGTATTTTTAATCATATTTCAATTTTTTCAAATGGAACGAGGGTGGCTCATTAGCGTATTTGGAAAAAGCATTTTTTTACGAATAATTTGATACCACACACTTGGTATTTTGAGACAAATTGTCGTTATGAACCGTAGGTTACAATTTCAAATAAACCATATGCGAAAATATCAACAGTTGACATATGATATGTCATTCTATTCAGAGTGTCATTTTCTATCGAATAAAGTAAAAAAATACCGAGGGTGCCATTTAAAGTCAAAAGTTGTAGTAATTTCCGGTGAAACCGGAAGTGACCCGAAACAATTGGATATATCAATCAATCCTAATTTATGTCATATACGAACATACCAAATCTCGTTGTTTTATCTGAAAAATAAAAAAAGGTATAGGGGTGAGCCATTTTTGAGGCGCACCCGGTATAGGTATGCTTATATTTTATTTTTTGATTATATAACGGGCACTTTGTTTATTCACTTGTTTCGTCGACTGTTTGAAACTCTTTTTGCTTTTGATCGGTGTGAGAAGCTGTGAAGGCATAAAATGTTGTTTCGGGAGAGTTGAATATACAGGAAAGTTGAGTCATTGAATGTTATTGCACCCAACAACAACCTAATTACTAATTACGCCCTCCTTTACGCGTTAACAGGTTAACATTTTTTTCGGGAATGTTATTAACGTTTGAAATTGTCACAACCACAACACGACGCCTAGTTCAAATTCTTTTTCATTATTTTTTACTACCCGAATCAGCGTTACTTCACACAAATCTCGTAACTGAGTGTTTCAATAACTGCACTAGCAAAAAACTAAAATACTTAAATATTATGACAAAGCCACAATTTCAATATTATTTTAATGCAATCAAGATGAACTTTAACCGGGACGCATTTAAGCAAAATGTACCATTATTTAGTCCATAATGTGATTTTCCCTGCTCTCATTGGTCGAGACTAAACGCTGGTGCGTTTTGCCAACGTTAAGCGTGAGGCATTCCAAACGCAGGTACATGTTGCTAAACTTTACTAAAACGTGGTGTATTATGCCTGAGATCGAATGGCATTAACCTTTTCAATTGCCCTGAGAAAAATAAAAAAAAATTGACGGATTGATATGACAATTTCGCCAAAACCATGCCAAAACACGCCGCCGTTACTTCTCTCAAGTAG